GGTTCTTCGCAGCCTGCCTTATTCACTGTCCAACTTTCACATACATATGAAGCAATTGAAAATACCATGGCTTGGGTCTGGGACACCTTAGTCTTAAAATTGGTGTATCTTTGCTCTTGAACACTTTAAAGAGGTCTTAGGCATCAGATTTGCCAAACATAATGTTATTTGATTTTTTTGACGGCTGCTTCCATAAGTGTTGATTGTGGATCCCAGACAAGTGAAGTCATGACATCTTCCATCTTTTCTCCATTTGTCATATTTATTAGTCGAGTGGTGAGGATTTTTGTTTTCTTTACACTGAGATGCAACCCATACTGAAAGCTGTGGTCTTTGATCTGTCTCAGTGTTTTAAGTCCTCTTCGCTTTCGGCAAGCAAGGTTGTTATCATCTGCATATCGCAGGTTGTTACTGATTCTTCCTCCAATCCTGATGCCATGTTTTTCCTCATAGAACCTGGCTTCTGTGATTATTTGCTCAGCATACAGGTTGAATAAGTATGGCGCACACTTCTGATTTTAAACATTCGGTGTTCCCTTGTTCTGTTGGATCACCTGCCTCACTGTCTATGTACAGGTTCTTCTTGAGCACAATTTAGTGCTCCAGAATACTCATACTTCACAATGTTGTCCATAGCTTGTCATGATCCTCACTGTTAAAAGCCTTTGCATAGTCAGTAAAGCACAGGTAAACATCTTTCTGGTTTTCTCTGCTTTCAGCAAGGTCCATCTGATGTCCCTCGTTCCACATCCTGTTCAGCTTGAATTTCTGGCACTTCTCTGTCTATGTACTACTTGTGCAAAGTAAATAGTAAATAAATATTTGAATTCTGAGTAAAGTAGTCCTACTACCTAAGTAGAGTTCAGACATGGTGTACTCATATTCTATTGTGGGTTAATGCACAAGACTGCAAAGCCGTTTGAACTGCAAGGTCAGTGGTTCAAGCTCACCAACTGCTCCTTGGAAACCCTGTACAGGATCGCTATGTGTCGGAATCGACTCGACAGCACTTAACAACAACACAGGTGTGGCGCTGTGGGTTAATGCGCCAGACTGCAAAGCCATTTGAACTGCAAGGTCAGCTGTTCAAGCTCACCAGCTGCTCCTCAGAAACCCTATACAGGGTTGCTATGAGTCAGAACTGACTCAGCGGCACTCAACTCAACAATAGGTCAAAAGTTAGGCCTAGACCTCGCCAGTTAAGGTCAAGGCATCAGCAGGCCACGTCCCTTTCTGAGGGTTCTGTTTCCTTGCCTATTCCAGGTTCCAAGCTGCCCACATCTCTTGGCTCACATCTCCTTCTGTGTAGCAAAGGTGGATGGAGTTGTCCTCACATGACCTGTTCTGCCTCTCTTGTGCACTTGTAAGGTCCCAACCAGGGACTCTGTGATGGTCTTTCTGTTTAAGGGTCAGCTGATTAACAGTAATGCCACAGAGTATCCTCATTCCCCTTTGCCATGTAACCTAGGAGCGTAGTCACAGGCTCCAGGGCCCAGGGCAGGAGTGGCCTTGGCCTTCTGTTTCACCTACACTCATGGTACCCTACAGGGCCTCTCATAGCAAGTTCCACCTCACCTCACCCCTCCTACTTGTCCACCTTCCAGATGCACTTCAAGCCGTCTAGCTGTTCTCAGAGTCCCTCTGAGTGGGAACTGATGTGAGGGCACTTAAAACCAGTAACAGCAGCAGCTGCACTTGGTGCCACTGTTTGCTCTGCCACAATGCTGCCCCGCCACCCTCCCCACCCTGGGATGTCAGGCTGTGTTCACTGCTCCAAGTATGAAGCAGACTGCTCAGTACTCCCTGGGCTGTGAACAGTAACTACCTGAGTGAGGACAGGTGGACATGCACACACACAGCCACGCAGTGTCGTCTGAGACTGTGCCCTCATCTTCACTTCACTCGGGCAAGGGGCAGTGGGAAGAGAGGAGCTCCAACTGCATTCTCTAGTCAATTCAATGGATAAAGGCACTTTCTTGGGGACTGCTGGTGTGGCTCTGTATGAGAAACACCTGACTGCTAACCGTTAAGTTCACAGTTCAAGCCCACCAGCAGCTCTGCGAAAGATGAGGTTTTCTGTTCCTGTGAAGAGTTGCAATCTCAGAAACCCTCTACAGGGTCGCTGTGAATTGGAATCGACTCGAGGGTAGTGGTTTGGTTGTGACTTTTTGGAACCCCCTTTCGGACTCCAGTTGACTCGGCGTGGCTTTGGTTGGTCACTGGTAAGGAGATTGGCATTGTGGAGGGTGCCTTGGTGTGCTAGTGTACCGCTGAGACAGTCCCGACTCACAGTGAGCCTGTATAAGGTTTCTGAGGAGTTGCTGCTGATGGGTTTGAACTGCCAACCTTTTGGTTAGCAGTCTAGTGCTTCTCCTACAGTGCCATACCAGGACTCCACACCATGGGTAGGTGGCTTTAAATTAGAGAATTTTATTTTCTCAGTTCAGGAGGCAAACAGTCCAAACTGGGGTCTCAGCGGTGCCGGTTCTTTCCAAGGTCTTGTCCCCTGGTTTCCAAGTCTGCTGACCACCCTTGGCATTCCTTTACCTGTAAACAGGGGCTGGCATAGTCTCTCTTCCCCGTGTCTCTGTGCTGCTCAGAAGGGAATAGGGTTAGGAGCCATCCCCACTGGTATGACCCTATTAGCCTAAGGAAGAAAACTCCCAAATGAGGTCATAGTTGAAGCTGCAGGAGTTAGGAACCCCACACTTCGGGAGAACACGCTGCACTCCTCCGTTAACACAGGCGCTGGCCTGGGGCTTGTTCCTGGGCTTGTGAGGCAGGTCCAGTGGGGGTGTCCAGTAGGTGTGGGTACCATGCTGGGCCAAATGCTGCGGTTGTCAGTAGTGAACAGTAACTACCCGAGAAGAGCAAGGGCAGGGGGACCGAGCACACAGATGACACAAGGCAGAACGAGGGACAGCAGGCGCTGTGGGAGCTCTGAGGGCCAAGCAGGACATAGGAACGCCAGGTGAGGCCTGACTAACCTACTCCCCGCCTTGATGGAACTGAGAGACCCCAGGTCTGTCGTTTATGGAGACAGCAGTGAGGCATTCCCACTCTATAGAAAGGGAGTTACACGGTTCAGTATTTTTCAGAATGAAAAATTAGTCCGGGGATCAAACAGTGAAAAACCCAGCTGGTTCATTTTTAGGAGGCGGGGATGAAGACTCGGGCTTGCAGGGAGGGAGTCACTGTCAAGTGGCTGGTTGGGGACTGGAGCTCAGATGCACCTTAACTAACGGGTCTAAGAAGAGTGTGACACTTGATTTGATGGCAGGAACCCAATAAGAGAGAGAGGCTTTTTCTTAGTGAGTTGGATTTGAGATGCTAGTAGAAAATCCAAGAAATGTGTTATTGACAGGGGGAAATTGAGTCAGAGTCTAGGATTGGCTAACTTACCTGAACCACAAAGCAGTTTGTCAGCGTCTCCCCCCCAGTGTGGAGATGCAGGAGCATTCAGGTGACTAGGTGACTGTGGACCTTGGAGCGTTGAGGCAGACAACATGAGGCTAGCTTTGTGAGGCAGTCCATACCAACAAACCCACACCTGGCTGCTGTTCCCTCTTGGTAGACAGCCTCCTCTTGCGGTACACATTCTAAGTCAAGTCTGGGTAACAGTGATGGTGGGATGTGGATAAGAGAGAGCAGAGCTGGAGGGAATGAGGGCTGGCCAAGGGGATGGTGTCCATTGACAAGTAGTAGAGCGTGAACAGAGGAAGAAGTCAGCACCGTTAGAGGAGGAAAAGCCAAGAGAAGCATGCATTCGAGATGCTGTCCAATGTGTGGGCAATGGAGGTTGACAACTAAGATGTCAGACTTTAGGGGTTATGAACACTATAAAGGGTTAAGGAATAAACTGGGGTGGGGGGTGAGGAAGTGGGGAAAGAAAGTACCCTCTATTCTTTAGTCAGAGTGGAAAGTGAATGGAAGAGGGTTGGGTCAAAGTTTGAGTTAGAACCAAGTTTAGGGTGTTTGTAGACCAAGGTCAAGCAGCCAGTAGCAACTGAGGAAGGGAAGAGAGGTGGGAGGAAGAAATGAAGGAAGCAGCAGTGTTCTGAACCTGAAGTCTGGGAACGGAGGTCAATGCAGTATTACCCTCACGGGAAGAGAGACAGCTTACAGCGCAGCGCTGCTCTCAGTCCTTTCAAATACCTCACCTAAACTGTTTGGAGCCCCACAGGTAATCAGGGAATTGAATCTGTCTTTTAAACTTGTTTCCAGAGGAAAGTGAAATGTGGAGAAATTGAAGTCAGTGGTCATCTAAGTCTTGAAATCCCTTCAATCTCTTTAAGTCTTCCCAGTTCAGAATTTAAAGCAGCGCCATCTAGTGGTGAGTGTACCAAAGGCATGAGGTGGGGGTTTTCTGACAGCAGGGCTGTACTTTAAAAACGGAAAAACCGTGGAAGGTATTGTTTTGTTCTCCGTCTTTCCAACCCAATTAGTTGCTACTCAGTCAATTCTGACATAAGGCATGCTATAAGAATCATGTTTCTAGTTTACCCTTTTTAGCTGTTATCCCCAAGATGAGCGACCAAAAACCATAACTTCAAGTCTTATTTTAGATGTTTGGCTAACAAGAATTAGAACTCAGTGTTTTAGGTCATTAATCCGTATCTTATAAGGTCTGTGAATGCAGGGTCTTTCTTGCGGTTAAACCTGGGCATTTTAAACCGTCTCTGAATGGACCTGCACCAGATTGGTACCAGGGCTGGCTGGGGTCAAGAGCTGAAAGATGACTTTTCTCAGTGATGGTCGTGACACGCCCACAAGTTCATGCCAACTCCTAGGGACCCTGTGTGGGGTTTCCAAGGAGCTGCTGGTGGGTTTGAACCTCCAACCTTGTGGTTAGCAGTGCAGTTCTTATCCTACAGCACCACATCTGTTTTGTCCCTTTCACAGTGTTACCTGTTTAAAACCTTAATTCTAAGTATGTGACCATGTATGTTTCGGGGTTTGTTTTTTGACAAATTGTTAAATTCTTCTGACATGGTACACAGGTCATGAATGAGAAACTGCAGCACTGCATGGAACTGACTGACCTAATGCGGAATCACCTGAACGAGAAGCGGGCCCTCCGCCTGGAGTGGATGATTGTCATCCTCATCACCATAGAGGTGAGTGTGGGAAGGGGCCTCTGGAAGGGACATGGCAATCGACAGTGGCATCATCAGCTCCCCACACTAACTTCTAAAGAGATTTCACTTGTCTCAAGACAGCATTTGGGGTCATTTGCAGCGTCTAGCCCAGCATCAAGTACTATGTCATTGAGGGAAAGGCAAATATCCCTATTTTAGGAGCATTTTTCATGAAAATCATTCTCATTTATGCCAACAATTTTGGTTTTTGTTGTGAAACTAATCCGTAAACGTTTTATTATTACCTTAAGGTGATGTTCGAGCTGGGACGAGTCATCTTTCTAGCCAAGTGATAACTCAAAGGAGAACTTAGTACATGGCCCCTACAAGACCTACAATCAAAAATCCATGTGTACTGTTGGGGGATCTATTTAATAGGTATTTAATTTTTAAAAATAAATGGTTATAATGATCTTTTTCAGCACCCAAATATATTGTGTGAATAAAACAAGTCTGGTGTTTGGGTCTGTCATACTGACAGATCAAGGGAAAATGTTTTTTCAGGCTAAAGAACTCAAGACAATCTCATGATCTAAGAGCTCTAGGCAGATAGATGATTCTTAAAGCCAAAAACCTCCCTCTAGGGACTCAGTCACGGCCCTGACTGAGAGTGCTGTGTTGGGCCTAGGCCACACCTCAGGAATGTCAACACAAAAATGTGACCAAAACAGGCCCTGAGTGATGCCGATATGGGGGATACAGGACTTGAGGATGTGACCAAGACAGGCCCTGAGTGATGCCGATTTGGGGGATGCAGGACTTGAGGAAGTGACCAAGACAGGCCCTGAGTGATGCCAATTTGGGGGATGCAGGACTTGAGGATGTGACCAAGACAGGCCCTGAGTGATGCC